TCGACTCGAGTGAGTCGGCCGGCCGATCATCAGAGCAGGAGCATTTTTTTTCTTGAACGACAAAGGAGGAGCTTCTTTACTTGCGCTCTCGCTCGGCTAATTTCTCGGAGAAAACTGAATTAACTACTGCCCATGGGTATCACGAGACGTCCCTTTTGACGCTCTTCGATCTCTTTCCTGCAGCATTCAGTGCCCCTAGCGAAGTCTCTAATCCAGCTCTCTTCGGTTGGGGTCATGGCGGCGCCATGTGCGTTGTTTTCCTTCTTTAAGGCATCGTCGTTCGGGGTTGATTTGTGCCATGCAGTCTTTGGCTCTTGACTTTGTGTCAACCCAAGGCTCAGCACTGGATGTCTTGGTTCATGGTGGCCTAGGCGTTAGAGTCACAGTTTCTTTTTTCTTTCTTTCGCGAGAGTCACGGTTTTCTTTCCACGAAAGGTACGGGTGTGCTTTCGCGAGAGTCACGGCCGTGCCTCTCGGAAACAAAAAAAAATGTTTTCTTTTTTCTTTCTTTCGCGAGAGTCACGGTTTTCCTTCCATGAAAGGCACGAGTGTGCTTTCGCGAGAGTCACGGCCGTGCCTCTCGAAAACGAAAAAAACGCATTTTCTGTTTTTTTTCCTTTCGCGAGTCACGGTTTTGCTTCCGCGAGAGGTATGGTTGTGATTCCGCGAGAGTCACAACCGTGCCTCTCAGAAACGAAACAAAAACATGCTTTCTGTTTTTTTACGAGAGTTACGGTTTTGCTTCCGCGAGAGGCACGGGTGTGCTTTTGTAAGAGTCACGGCCGTGCCTCCTCGAAAACGAAAACAAACGCGTTTTTTTCGTTCCGCGAGAGTCACAGCTTTGCTTCCGCAAGAGGCGCGCTTGTGATTTCGTGTGAGGCACGGACGTGCCTCTTTCGAAAAGGGAAAAAACTCGTGCTTCCGGTTCGGTTTTTTCGTCCATTTTTTTCGTGAAAAAAAGTTCATCAAAACCTATCAACATGGATTTAGTTTTGAAGATCTCGACGCGAGGAATCCAACAATGAAAGCGGTTCGTGGACACACGGTTTGAGAGATAAAACGTTTTGAATAAACGAATCTACGAAAAAGGGGAAAACTTTCAGGTTGCTACAAGTGACGCTTTACATGTGCGCCACTGTGTCGCAACATGCGGCGAACCAACTTGTGGTATGATGGCTAGATGGATTGTGGTATCCCCAGCCCACCAGAGTTCAGAGTTTAAGTCCTGGTGCTGCATTTATTTCGGGATTTATTTCAGGATTTTCGACGATGCACATTCGAGGAGACGTTCCCGTCGACGACGAGGTACCTACGGTGACTTCATAAATTTCGAGATGATATGCCGGCTCAGTCTTTCGGAGATGTTCATCAGGATAAGGTGTGCGTATGTGTTTTCATAGAGATGAGTGCATGCGCGTGTATATAAACGCTTGCGTTTGTACTGTGTTAAAAAAACTAATGATTTCATACTGATGAGGCATATAAAAAGTTGAGATCGTTCTCACATGGGTTGCCCGTTCCCGCCCACAACTTGGAAGACCCCTTCCACTCGTACCACAGCTATCTTAACGGCACATGTAAATATTTGTAGCTACCAGGCTCTGGTAAACGTTTTCGTGGATAGGCTATGAATTGTTGAAGCACGAAGTATAGAATGAACGTATTCAGGACACGTCGGATAAAATTCACAAATCCAATTTGACGCCATTTGCATCAGAATATCGGCTTCACACATGAAACATCGCCCCTTGGACCGGCCCACTAGAGAGTGAGCACACCGTTCGCTCATTCGGCGATTTTCCTCCATTTTAGGGTGACTTTGTCATTTTTGTGTGATGGCTTCTTCTATTTTATTTTTGGTTTCTGGGTGGTTTTATTTCCATTTTTTATTTCTTTGTGCTTTTCCTTTTTGGGTGGGTTTCTTTGAAAATTCATGAACATATTTAAATTATATTTATTTTAAATCACGAACAAGTTTCAAATTCCACTATTTAAAAATTTGAGAATATTTTTAAAATTCACAAACTTTTTGGAATTCAATAATATTTTTAAAATCTGACAACAATGTAATAAAAATCAAGATCACCTTTCAATTTGAGAACATTCTTAAAGTCACGAGCATTTTAAAAAAATCAAGATCACCTTTCAATTGGAGAACAATCTTAAAGTCACGAGCATTTTTATAAAATTGGAGAACACTTTTTAAAACTTGTTAACATGTTTTTTGGGACAAAAACAATAGGGAAGACCCCTACTGTAACTCTTTTTCATCATATAATGAGATAATTGCAATTGGTGGGGTATAACATAGCTATACTCCTACAATAATATTCTAAAAATAATCTAACCATGATTGCATTCCCTCTTTTAGAATAGGTTTGGATCTCTTGATCACCATAGTAACGTGTTCTTTGAAGCAACTGATGCAATATTCTAAGTTTCTTTGCTTGTGATCAAAGATGATTCCATTTTTGTGTTTTCATTGGCCCCAGTAACCTGTGAGGCTATGATCAAGCACTCCTTGAAACATTTGATAGTCATTCTGTTTTTGGCCTCCATCAACATATCAAAATAGTAAAATGTACATTCCATTCAAAGCCTAGAGCAATCCAAAAGTTTTGACTGAATTCACAAGAAAAAAGTAGGTGGATAAAATCCTCATTAGGCCCATCATCACACAACTCACGTATGTTTGTTTTCCACATAGAAGTTCTTTCTCGTAAGTAGGTCCCTTGTGTTCAATCTGTCTTGTAGGAGAAGCCAAAAGAAGAACCTTTGTTTATCTAGACAACTGGATTTCCATATCCATTGGAAGGGTTGGTAGCATCAGGTGGATTACCAGCAAACTGGTGATATTTTTCAAAAACATTATGAACATTGTTTTAATCCAAAAACATTATTTAAGTTTAATGTTTTTCAATTCATGATAGTTTCCAAAATTGAAAACCTTTTTTTATATATGTGCACATTTATTAAAATTTGAGAACATTTATTGGAAGTGAGAATATTTTTTAAATTCATGAAATTTTAAATCCAAATACATGTTTAACATTTTTACAAAAACATTTTTAGCATTTTTTTAATACATGTTAAATTTTTGAATACACGTTGGAAAAAAATCAATGTTAATTTTTTTTTCTGAACCATGCAAACCATTTTTACATTGTACAAGCATGCTTTTTTAAATGTCATGAACACATTTGTGAAACTTGTGAACATTTGTTTTAAATGTGATGTACATTTTTAATGGATGAATCAATTTTTCTGAATTGCACAAACAATTTTTATATTGTATAAATATTTTATTTGAAATGTCACGCACATTTTCTGAAATTGTGTGACATTTTTTAAACTTCACAAGCATTTTCCGTACACACGATTAACATATTTCATACACATGATTAATATTTTGTACTTCCTCCATCCAAATTAATTGACGTAGCCTTCATACAATGTAAAATATTGTACAGAGTCTGCGTTTGTACAGAGATTGCATCAATTAATTTGTATCAGAGGGAGTACACTTTTTAGTCACATTGTACATTTCTGTATATATATCAATCAGAAACATTTTTATACATGTTTAATTTTTTTTCAAATGCAAGATTAGCATTGTTAAATTTTTATTTAAAGTTTCTTTTGCAATATACTACCTCCGTATCAAAATATAAGACAGTTTTTGGCACTATCATAATGTGAAAAAATGTATTATATTTTTTTGACATAGTGTCAAAAATGTCTTATATTTTGATTTTTTTAGTCTTCTTATATTTTAATACAGAGTGAGAACAGTGGTATTCCCAGCCCACCAGAGTTTAAGTTCTAGACTTGACATTGGTGCTCCCATTATTTCTAGGTTTATTTCAGGCTTCCGGAAATATTCGTTGAGTGGAAGGAGATGTTCCCGTTGACTACAAGACGCCAGTGGTGACTTCATAAAATCTCAAAATACTATGCGAGCCTAGTGTCTCGGAGGTGCTCATAGGGGTAGAGTATCTGTGTATGCTTGTGTACGTGAGTGTATGTGAGTGACTTCAATTGTACTGTGTTTAAAAAATAATTTTATGTAGAGGGAGTATATGTTTAGAAAATTTTGAAATACAGAAAATTAAAAAACAAAAAAATATATTATCTTTATGTCCTCCTCCCGAAGGAAGAAAGATTAGGGTTCCTCTACATCCCGCCGGCATTGCCGCCGGTCTGCCTCGTCTCCGGTGGTCTTAGGGTCATGGGGCGTAGTGGATCCCGGCCCTTGCTGGCGGGATGGCTCTGTTTTTAGATGTTTTTTTAAGTTTTGTTAGGGTTTTTGTCCTGCTTAGTAAGGCGAGACGGCGGCAACTCCTTAAAGATGGAATAAGGTTCTTCCCGCCTAGCCTCGGTCTCGGTGGTACATCTAGCATCGCCGGTGGGCGTGTGGATGTGTGTCTCCGGCGGATCTGCTCGGATCTGGTCATCGTTCGTCTATGTTTGTGTATTTTCAGGTTCTTTCGATCTATGCTACTCTTTATCGGCGGCGGTTGTTGTTCTGATGCATTGGTTTTATGGGGCCTTAGCACGACGAATTCCTGACTGTCTACTGCAATAAGTTTTGCCCGGATCCGACGAGGGAGCGGCGATGATAGCCGCGCGCCTTCGACTCGCTTCGGTGCTTGTAATCGCCGCTAGGTGGTCTACGGACCTGTATGTAATTTTTATTATTTTTGTTGTTCTTTGATGAAACAACATGACGTCAGCATGATGATGGGCGCGGTTACTGGGCCGCCCAATACCGCGCCGTGTGTTTTCTGGCAAATAGTGCGTCCCAAAACTCGACGTCCGGCCCAAGTTACCCAGGGGGCCGCTGATAATATTACACGCAAGCCTCTGTTTCTCTCGTTCCACAATCGCTCGTCACAAGCGTTCGCACCCTACCACCCTCCAAGCTCCACCCCAAGCTCCCTCCGCCTTCCGCGCCGCCACCGCAAGGCTCTCCCGCCTCGCGCCGTGCCCAGGACGATACGATGGTGGGGCTCTCCGAGGGGGAGAAGCACTTCATCCGCGGCGGCATCGCGCAGGACCTCCGGGCCGACGGCCGCACGCGGCTGCAGTTCCGGGCCCTCACCGTCGAGACAGGAATCATCCCTCAGGTATGTGAAGAATTCGTACTCCTTCCTCGGTGCTGCTACCGTGCTTAATCTTTTTTCGGATTGGGTGGTGGTGCTTGTAGGCCAACGGCTCGGCGCGTGTTAGGATGGGTGCGACCGAAGTTATCGCCAGCGTCAAGGTATGCTTCCTTACTTCCTTGCATTATACAGTACGTGTCTATGTGTATTGTCTATGTGTATGATAATTTCTGCCCTATGGAAGATATCTTGCATTATACAGTACGTTTCTGTTTTGAAAATCATAGCAAGAAAATGACAATCCTCTGACATTGAGCTTAAGAATTAACTGTCTATCATTTGGCATTTATTGTTCTAATATTGTGATTCACATTCATATTTTGTCGGTGTAGAGAGCTTTGAGATAAAAAAACAACTCTTGGCATGTTCTATTCTACTTATTCCTCTGTTTTAGTTCTATTTTTACGTTTTTCTTTTCTTACTGTCAATATTCATCTGCAGGCTGAGTTGGGGAAACCAACCATTCTTCATCCCGACAAAGGAAAAGTTTCCATTTATGTTGATTGTAGTCCAACTGCTGCGCCTATGTTTGAGGTTGGTAATGCATTGTACTTGGATCATACTGAAAAAACAGAATAGTCTCTTATGTTAATAATCTGATGAATCACCAACTATTTCTGTGTTATACTTAGGTTATCTCATGTGGTTCTTTTATGTAATAGACATAGACATGAGCTGGTTTGCTGATTGTCTTCACTGAACAATGGATACTTGTATTGTAATGATGGAATTGTTGGCTATGAAGAGTAGTGTGGTCATTAGTAATACTGTGAAGAAATATCAAAAGCTATTTGATATTTGATACTCCCTCCTTCCATCTATATAGGGCCTAATGTGTTTTTCTAGACCTCATTTGACTTTTGACAAGATTAATAGTACATAAGATGCATAATGTGAAAATTATATCATTGGAAGCTCCTTTCACATATGAATTTGGTGGTATGCTTTGTGTAAGTTGCATGTCATACATTATTGCTTTAACATTTGGTCAAAGTTAGTCTCGAAAAATGTATTAGGCCCTATATAGATGGAAGGAGGGAGTATCATTATTATTTGGCCTTGCAGATAGGTTCCTTTCAACGATGCACTCCTTATGTAATCACAGTATGCATTAAAGCTAAATAAGCATTGAAGTACAAAAATATGTTCCTGCTATGCACCATGTAACAAAATGTATATGCTGCTACCTCCTATCCGGCTTAAAAGGCCCACGCGTATCCCTAGGTCGACAATTGAACCAACATAACACGAGTTATGTATCACAACAGATATACCATTGAAAACTTTAGATGCTATATTTTCTAATGATATACAACAAATATACAATGTGATATACAATTTATATTACATTCGTCGAATTGGCGATCTAGGGATACACATGGGACTTTCCTAGCAGAAAGGAGGTAGTATTAGTTAAAGCATTCATGTGCTAATTATTAAAAGATCTAAACTAATTAGGAGTACAAGCCTAATTACTATTTTGTTAGACAAATGCACAACTCATAAGGGGCAGAGCTGTACATCAGAGCAGTAGATTGCTATGCGAGAGAAAAAGCAGACTGAACATCCTTGACTTTCAAACACAGCTATATCAGAAATTGTTTTTGTTTGCTTTTGATCACATTCCGTTTGAAAGTTTTTTTGGCTCATAATTGACTTATTTGCCCTAAATTTAATTTTATTTAGGGTAGAGGTTCGGAAGAATTGTCTGCTGAGCTCTCTGTTGCGCTGCAAAGATGTTTACTGGGTGGTAAAAGTGGGGCAGGTAACATACAGTTTTATTGTTCACAATTAATTGTGTCTCTCTTATCTTTTTTAATAGACGTCTCAGTCTCATATCTTGTTTTGATCTTGCTGGACTCTATTTGGTTGCTTATAGTTGTGACTCAAGAAACAAGTACTGCAAGCCCCTCACGCAGTTTTTGTTGAAGCCTTCATTGGAATTGCAGTGCACATCGATTTCATGCAGCTTTACACTCCTAACTTGTTATACTATACTTGAATATTTCCATAAAAACTTGATATAAAATCTGATACCATTTTTCTTGCCTGATTTCAATTATGCCTACTTTTTGAACATTGCTTTAAGCAATTTTTTCAGTACATTTTTTCATACTGGAAGCACAACCCTACACAGATATTAACTTCATTACATCAAACTTGTGTTATCAAGTGAATTGCAGTTCGATATTTGGATGCACCAATCCGCAAGCAAAGTTCACTAAGATACATCAACTACAATTTATTTTCCTTGGTTTTTAATAGCTCAGGCATGTCAATTTCACTATTGCCATCAGTCAGTCGCCGATTCGTCGATGGATTATCGCATGGTGTAATTGCCTTTATTTAACTTGAGATGGATTATCTCATGGAATAATTGTAGGCAGGGTTCCGTTTTTAAGCCAAAAGTGCTGCTAACTGGTGGTTACAGATTTTGTGCTCCCGGGCAGGATTTGGTAAACCGGTTCAAGTTCATATGTATAAATTTGAACCTAAAAAAGGTTTTTATAAGAAACTGTGAAACACTTTCTATTCATGATAGTCTATCGAGATATGCATCACTACAACACTTTTCCATTTAAAACTGCTATAACTTAGCAAGCACATCAGGCAGTAAACCCTTCTGGACAGCAAGCAAATTAGTCAGATTATTTCCTTCTTCAGAAAGATGTGTACGTCTGTATTTTCTTTACATCTGTGGTTTTGCACTTTCTGCCAGGTTTGAATAGTCGGTTGTGATTAATTTAGTTGGTAGGAATAGGCGAGGATAGCAAGTCATTTCCAAATGAAGAAGCCTATATTTTAGGCAATAGACGGTTATTGCCCAAACATGAACTTAAGTTCGGTTTAGAAACATCGGGCGGCTATCCACCAATGGACACTGGTATGGTAATCAATCTGTCCAAAATAGAAAAGTGAAACACTGCCAGCTTATAGGTTCCTCTCCGATCTGCCAAGTTGTGTCTGCTCGTGAATTCCTTGGGTTAACCATTAAGAGAAGATCCTGTTTGGATTTTAATGATTTAACCAAATTCAGCTCTGTTTCTGATGTCCTCTTCTTGTAGTCAAGAAAACTTCAACGAGAGTGGATTTTCATTATTTTATGTTTTTATATTGTTTTCTTTCTAGAAGACTGCAAATAGACCATCACTTGGTATCAATAACTGTTTCCATCTAATTGAGCCCACATGCAACAATGCACATTTCAGGGGCTGCAATCGATTTATCGTCTCTGATTGTTGTTGAGGGAAAAGCCTGCTGGGATCTGTACATTGATGGACTTGTGGTCAGTTCTGATGGTAATTTGCTTGATGCACTGGCAGCTGCGATAAAGGTAGTATGTGGTTTCCATTGCTTCACCCAATGTATCCCTTGAAGTGCCAAGTTATATCTTTTATTGAAGGTGTCAGTAAAGTCAGGAGCGTTAATTCAGCATATTTTTGGTTAAAAAGTGTCATCCATTTTCTTGTACTCCATTCTAATGGCTATGGAGAATGAAAGGACTGACTTAGCCATTATGTTGGGATACAAAGAAGGAACAAATGGAAGCATACGGATTCCCATTATACTTCCTCAGTCCTTTAACTTCAAAAATATAAACTATACTGAACTTCTTTGTTCTTATCTCTGTTTATGTACTGGTAGCTGCAGAGCTTATCAATCCCAGATAAATTTGTTTTGTGTCATTCGCTGGCATCGAGGCAGAACAAATTTGTGAAATATAAATCATGGTTTGTGGAGGCCAGCTATCACAATTTCTGCTGGCTTCCATGCATGAGGTTTTGATGCAAATCCCCCAGTTTAATCGGTAGTTGAGTTCCTTGGTAGACTTTTAAAGGGTGCTGTTTGAAACAATGTGATTTTCGGAACGTAGAACACGGAGCTATATTGGAGTTAGTAAACAAGGCATTAGTTCTAGTTACTTTTGTAAATCTTTGATGAATTGCTTGACTTTGGGTCATTTTCAGCAGTTTCTACTCTGTTACATGCGTTGCTATCAAGTGTCAACTATTTGTGTTATGCTTGATGATTGTGCTGTGCTGTCTAGTGCATATTGCATTGGTTGGCATGATTAATTAAGACAAAAGAGGTTTGTACATTTGCGGAGTACTAATATTCTGTGTACTTATTTGCAGGTAGCTTTGAGTGATACAGGTATACCAAAAGTTAATGTTTCTCTTAACAATGAAACGGATGGGGAGCCTGAGGTTGATATCAGTGATGAAGAATTTTTGCAATTCGACACTTCTGGTGTGCCTGTCATAATTACATTGACCAAGGTATATGATTTCCTTTTTCTTTTTCTTTGAGTTGTTGCCAAGAAGTATGCTACTCCCTCCGTTCCTAAATATGTCTTTTTACAGATTTCAACAAGGACTACATACGGATGTATATAGACATATTTTAAAGTGTAGATTCACTCATTTTGCTCCGTATCTAGTCCGCATTCGGAATCTCTAAAAATACATATATTTAGAAATGGAGGGAGTATATTAGTTGCATGATTATTGAATGGTTTAGAAACCTGTAGCATCATAATAATCAGAATTTGATAGGAACATGATGGTCATTCAAATTGAGTTTACTATTAAATTCACTTTTGGTTGTCTCCATTTTGATGTTCCAGCGGCAAAGTATGTTTCAAGCTGTTGTGCAGCACCAGTTTCTAGTAAACATTGGTGCTACAATTAGTTTAGTCGAAAAACAGCCCTCTTTATTTTCTCGTGTTTATGACTAGATGGTTGCTTATGTTGTGTTCCTAAATGCATTCCTGTGTATATATGTATCACATTTGCTAGTTTGTGATATACTTGTTCTTGAGACAGGTTGGTAAGCACTACATTGTTGATGCCACCTCGGAGGAGGAATCGCAGATGAGTTCTGCGGTTTCCGTTTCAGTCAACAGCCATGGCCAGATATGTGGGTTAACCAAGAGGGGAGGCGCAGGGTTGGATCCAAGCGTCATTTTTGATATGATATCCGTGGCCAAGAATGTAAGCCAACGGTTCTATACTCTACTGGAATCAGCAATCGCAGCTGCTGAAGCAGCAGCGGACGAGTAGAGAAAAAGAAGCATAGAAGATACTGTGATCACGCTGACCGCCCGTAGTTGACCTTGCTAATGCCTCAGAAGAATGTACTATCTTGGTGCCGCAATTGCCAATGTTTTGCACAAGCTTTTGGTTTTGGTGTTATGTATTGTCGAGTGCCATACGTTGGTGAAATGTTTTGCTGTATAATTATTTTGTTGTAGCTGTTCGGTGGTTGGATTAGAGTTATATTAAGGCCTCGTTTGGATTATCGTTTAGCTCCTTAATACCCCTGAAAAACGATACATGCCACCAGCCGTCGTTTTGATTCCGGACGAAAGTTACGCTACGGCCGGTAATATACACCCGTAAATCCGGACGTATCAACTTACAGCGATTCCAAGCGGGGCATAAGCATGAAACTCGGATGGTTACTAGCAAGTACTCTTGCGACGCCGTTAAGCATCTGCTGAGGGTGTTGTAGATGCAATAGTTGTCAGCAGCGTGGAAGCAGATCCGGGACGGCAGATGGCGACATCGGGGGATAAGCCCCGTTGCGGTGGACGAGACGGTCATAGGAGCGGTCCCGGCAAGGTGGACGACGGCACGAATGAAGCGAGAGGATGCGATGCAAGGATCTTGGTCCGGCGCCGTGGATGAGAGGTATCGATCTCTTGTCGTGGACGACGGGGTTCGGGTAGTGGCTTTGGCATGGTGGAGGAGGACCGTGGAGGATGGGGTTATGGATGGAGGAGGCTAGCAGGGTGGAGAAGGTGTATTGGCGACGATGGTGTATGAATGAGGAAATGGAGGAGAGGTTATTTTGACACCCACGTTTGTCGCTCACGATGTATGAACAAGGCTGAGAGGCGTTTGTATCATGTATGAGTGAAGTTACAAATATACCCGTATTTAAAATATTTGCCGAGATCGATTTCGGTCAAGGAGGATTTGTTTTGGCGCCCACAATAATGTATGACTAAAGAAATGGAGATAGAGGGGTCTTTGGGACGAGCTTGGATTTTGGCTCTTATTTTCCGCCGATCTGCCTTCATGTTGGTGAGTTCTTTCAACCGTGATTGTGATTTTTCGAGTTCTCTTGTAACATTGCCAAAGGTCTTACTCCAAACATGCAAATCATTCATGACCGAAGAAAGGGCCTCTCGAACATCACTCAGGTCCCGTTTCGTACCTCTAATCGTCTAGTAATTGACAATAATGGCTTTCAACGCCGGTGGCCTTTCCCACATTAGCTCGTATCTCCCGATGCTCTTTGGTCTCATTCAGTGAGCATCTAAGCAGGAGAGGACAGTGGTTGGGCGCCAAAGAGGTTAGGTGTGTCACTGAGGCGCGCAAAAGCATGTCCCTTCATTCATTCGATGCAACAACTTTGTCCAGCTGGACCTGGACATTTGGCCTGCCACTCCTTCTGTTATCATATATTAGTTGACCTGTTGCGCCAAATGACGCAGAGACCTGCTGAAGACATGTTGTCGATGAAAATAGTTTCATGCTGCAAGAACCTTCAACTAAAGCCATGTTCGCGATGAAAATAGTTTCCTTTACTAAGGACAGGCCATGTATATACAGCCGGTTTAGTTCTGATCTGCTAAATCCATATGCGCCTTGAAAAAAACATGGTTTAATTTGTAGAGCCTCACGTGTTTCAAGTATGAATAAGAACTACGAATCTTTTTGTGCGATTCAAACACATTTCTAGAGAGAGAGAGAATCATACCCCTCTCTCATTATGATTATTATTAAAAGGTATTAAATTTGAAATAGACAATTTCATTTACTTGAAGCACTCGAAGAAAGAGAACTTAGACATACTTTTACACAATGCTCATTTAACCTGCGAAGGACTACGCAATGCTCATTTAACCTGTGAAGAACAAAAATATTCCACCGTCTCTGAATGATGAACTAAACTAAATAAGAAATATATACAGTAAATTCATTCAAAGTAGAAAAGGGATACATGGTGTTATCTTAGTAAAAGAAATTACATCATTAGAAGAGAAAAGGGAAGAAAACCAAACATGAGATTGAGTTTTGAAAATATTTGACTGTGCTAGTAGAAGTAGGTTTTAGCAACATTAGGGTAGCCTGCATATTCTGTTATCTTATTCAGGTAACATAGAGCCAAATGGCGCAAGGTATATGACATACAATTTTACCGCGAAGATGCCATGTGATATCTTCCTTGACCTAATGTTCAAACATATTTGAAGATCAAACCCATAATTGGTGTCACCTGTCTTAATTAAAACCCAAAACACCTACCTTGTGCAACATGGCCTTTTACAATGGGAACAATTATTAGCACAAACAGAGTTTGGATATTACATGTTACATAAGACTTTAGCTTGAGAAACTGTCCTGTTATAGGTATATAAATTTCCTACTTTTAATTACAGCAGCAAACAAGAACCTTCTTAAATGGCAAACTCCCTTATGCATATCTGTTTCAAAATTCAACTTGTGAACACAGGCGAAACATTTTATCAATGCACAATAAAATATTGAACACACATAATAGTCTAGTTGGGAATCCAAATGATTGACTGTGACACCCTCGATTCAATCGTACACTAATCATACACGCAAATGTGTACGATCAAGATCAAGGACTCACGGGAAGATATCACAACACAACTCTAGACACAAATTAAAATAATACAAGCTTTATATTACAAGCCAGGGGCCTCGAGGGCTCGAATACATAAGCTCGAATACAAACGAGTCAGCGGAAGCAACAATATCTGAGTACAGACATAAGTTAAACAAGTTTGCCTTAAGAAGGCTAGCACAAAAGCATCTACGATCGAAAAGGCAAGGCCTCCTGCCTGGGAGCCTCCTAACTACTCCTGGTCATCGGCGGTCTTCGTCACGTGGTAGTAGACGCCCTTGGTGTAGTAGCAGTCGTCAAAGGTGTCATCTGGCTCCTGGACTCCGTCATCTGGTTGAGTCATCCGAGAAGAATGGAAAAGGGGAAAAAGAGGGAGCAAAGCAACCGTGAGTACTCATCCAAAGTACTCGCAAGCAAGGATCTACACTACAGATGCAACATTATCAAAGAGGGGTTGTATATGTGGACTGGGCTGCAGAAATGCCAGAATAGAGAGAAGGCCTAGTCCTATCGAAGACTAGCATCTTCTGGAAACCACCATCTTACAGCAAACAAGACGGAGTAGAGTAGCATAAAGTAAAGTGGTAGTAGTGTTATCAACCTCGGCCAGAGATCCTTTCTCGACTCCCTGCGAGAAAGCAATCCCAGAGCCATACTATCCAGTTATCATCACAATCAAATCCTCATCACCATCCAGTTCTCATCACAAGTATCTAGTTCTAGTTGTATCGATCGGGATACAACTCCAAGTGTCCGTTACCGTAGGACAGGCTATGCATAGATTAGTTCTTCCCTGCAGGGGTGCACCAACTTACCCACCACGCTCGATTGACTCCGGCCGGACACACTTTCCTGGGTCATGCCCGGCCTCGGCCAAACAATACGCCGCAACCCGACCTAGGCTTAATAGAGAGGCCAGCACGCCGGACTAAACCTATGCCCCCAGGGGTCATGGGCCATCTCCCCGGAAACTCCTGCACGTTGCGAACGCGGCCGGTGAGCAGACCTAGCTACCTCCTTAAAAAGGTAGGTGCTTACCAGTCCAACCCGACGCGCGCCGCTCAGTCGCTGACGTCTATTAAGCTTCGGCTGATGCATACGACGCAGAACGCCCATACTATGCCCACGTGATGGTTAGTGCTATCAGGCCAGAGGCCCCTCGGATCAAATATCCAAATCGTAGTGGATTAGGAACGCGCGGTAACAAGCAGAGACTCACGAAAGAGGTGACCCCGTTGCCCCGTCTCGAGGACTTGCGGCAAGGTCTAGGAATGCCCGGCCACGCCTCGTAATTATCTCACGGGCACCTTCCAGGTCAACCCGACTCCTCATCACTCACAATTATGCTCGCGCGGGCACCCCTCAGGGTCGACCCGTCTTTAGTAACATGGTTTAGTGTAAAGTCATAGTAACCATAGTAACTGTGTGTTTAAACATCAAGGGGAAAACCCGAGGAATCACCCCCGGTGAATTCCACTCAATGTACTCATCAAGGTGAACGTAAGAGGAATCACCCCCGAGGTTCACACTTGAGGGGTTGCACGACAGAGTCATATCGGAAGTGGTTAAGGTGGAATCACCCTCGATGACCACGACCGAATAGCTATACTACAGGGTTAACATCAGAAGTGTTGTAGAGGTCTCACCCTCGGCACTCGATAGTAACCCAGCAGTGTCGAACAACTAAGGGGAAAGTGATGTGCGGTGCCGGGGCCTGGTCTTCAATCCCGTTGATCGGGTCTTCAATGATGAAGCAGGGGCAACAAGGACAAGGTGGGGGTCACTGATGGATCACTAACCAACCTATACTAAGCAGATTAGGATAAGCAGGTAAGGTACAACAGTAGATACAAAAGCAGGCTATGCATCAGAATAGGAGCAAACAATAATAGTAGTAAAATCTAATGCAAGCATGAGAGAAAGGAATGGGCGATATCGGGATGATCAAAGGGAGGGCTTGCCTGGTTGCTCTGGCAAGGAGGGGTCGTTGTCGACGTAGTCGCTCACCGGGGCATCAGCGGCCTCGGGGTCTACCGGAGAGAAGAGGGGGAAGAGACAGTAAATACATAGCAAACAGAGGTAACACTAAGCATGACATGACGATACGTAGCGCTAAGCATGCTCTAACGCGGTACTACACGTTGCAGACGAAGGGGGGAAACATCCGAGGTTGAATTCCCGACGTTAGGTGGATTCCGGACAAAGGAAAGGAGGGGGAAAGTTCCATGTTCAGCATGCTAGGGGCATGTGATAGATGAACGGACCACGTATTCGGATTCGTTGGATTTTTCTGAGCAACTTTCATATAGAAAACATTTTCATCCGAGTTACGGTTTATTTTCTATGAATTTTCAAAGATTAAACCATTTTCTGGATTTATTTATATTAACAAAAAAGATAAAATGACGTCAGCATGACGTGCTGATGACGTCAGCAGTCAACAGACTCGCTGACCAGGTCAAACTGACCAACGGGTCCCACATGTCATAGACAAAGGGCTAACAGTGGGTTATGTTAAATTAACAGGGTGTTAATTAGCAGTTGGGCCCCACATGTCAGTGACTAATTAGCTAAATTAATTACTTTTAAATATAAAACTAGTTTAGTTAAATTAAATATGCGGTGGGGCCCGCATGTCAGTGGGCTAGAGTGCCCAGTCAGCAGTTGACCGAAGTCAACAGGTCAGCCAGGCCCACGGGTCAGCGACCCAGCGGGTGGCCCCAGCCGACCAGGCCAGCAGTGGTGCCGGAGCTAGCTCCGGCGACCAAAGCAACGGCGGCGCCTCACCGGAGTTGGCTGAGGCCGCACTACAGGGGGCCTCAGGACCTGTGGCTTGGACCTAAGGGCGCGGCCCGGCGCCACGCACACAATGGTGACGACGACCGACGCCGGGGACGGCCGGAGCATCGCCGGCGGCGAGCAGAGGCGGCAGCGGCGTTCGGGAGCGTGTCGGGAAAAGCCTACGGGGCGCCAAATCGGTCGCGGCTGGCCGCGCTCGAATGGACCTTCGACGCCGCATCCATCTACG